TTCTCCTCTCCATTCTTCTCTTCTCTCTCTCTCTTCTCTCTTCTCTCTTCTCTCTCTCTCCCTCTCTCTCTTCTTTCTCCTCTCTTCTTCTTCTTCTTCTCTCTCTCTTCTTCTCTCTCTCTCTTCTCTCTCTCTCTCTCTTCTCTCTTCTTTCCTCTCTCTCTCTTCTGTCTCTCTCTCTCTTCTCTCTCTTCTCTCTCTCTCTTCTCTCTCTCTCTCTTTCTCTCTCTCGTGCGACCTTCCGACGACGAGCAGTTCTGTCTCGGTGGCTCGTGGGCGGAGCCTCGTCCACACGTCCAGGGTGAAGATCGTGCTGGTGCTGTTGAAGATGGAGGCGAGCGAGGACATGAGCGCCGCCAGCATGACGGCGAGCAGGAGGCCGCGCACGCCGTCCGGCAGCAGCGACACCACCAGCTTGGGGTACGCGATGTTACTGCAGCCCGCCTCCGTGCCGCACACCTGCCGACAGAGCTCAGGCACCACGCAGCCCACCTCGTCTGACAACAACAAAACAACAAACAACAAAAACAAACAAAACATATCAAAAACAACTAAAACACAAAACAACAAAACAAAAACATCAAAACAACTAAAAAACTAAAACAAAAACAACAAGAAATCAAACACAACAAACAACAAAAACAAAAAAACAACAAAAACATCAAAAACAACAAAAAACACAAAACAACAAAAACAACAAAAACATCAAAAACAACAAAAACAACTAAAACAACAAAAAACATCAAAAACAACAAAAACAACAAAACAAAAAACACAAAAACAACAAAACAACCAAAAACAACAAAAACAACAAAAACAACAAAAACAACAAAAACAAAAAAACAACAAAAACAACAAAAACAACAAAAACATCAAAAACATCAAAACAACCAAAAACAACAAAAACAACAAAACAACAAACACAACAAAAACAACAAAACAAAAAACATCAAAAACAACAAACACAACAAAACAACAAAACAACAAAACAACAAAAACAAAAAACATCAAAAACATCAAAAACAACAAAAACAACAAAAACAACAAAAACATCAAAAACAACAAAAACAACAAAAACAACCAAAACAACAAAAACAAAAACATCAAAACATCAAAAACAACAAAACAACAAAAACAACAAAAACAACAAAAACAACAAAAAACATCAAAAAAAAAAACATCAAAAAAAAACAACTAAAACATCAAAACAACAAAAACAACAAAACAACAAAACATCAAAAACAACAAAAACATCAAAAACATCAAAACAACAAAAACATCAAAAACAACAAAACAACAAAAACATCAAAAACAACAAAACACAAAAACATCAAAAACAACAAAAACAACAAAACAACTAAAACAACAAAAACATCAAAAACAACAAAACTACAAAACAAAACAACAAAAACATCAAAAACAACAAAACATCAAAAACAACAAAAACCAACAAAACAAACAAAACAACAAAAACATCAAAACATCAACAAAACAACAAAAACATCAAAAACAACCAAAACAAACAACAAAAAACATAAAAAACAACAAAAACAAGAAAAAAACACAAAACAACAAAAAACAAAAAAACAACAAAACATCAAAACAACAAAACACAAAAACATCAAAAACAAACAAACACAAAAACAACAAAAACAACTAAAACACAAAAACAAAAAACATCAAAAACAAAAAACAAAAAACAACAAAAACATCAAAACAACAAAACAACAAAAACAACAAAAACATCAAAACAACAAAACAACAACACAAAAAAACATCAAACAACAAAACAACAAAACATCAAAAACATCAAAAACAACAAAAACATCAAAACCAACAAAAACACAAAAACAACAAAAACATCAAAAACATCAAAAACAACAAAACAACAAAAACAACAAAAAAAAAACATCAAAAACAACAAACAATCAAAAAAACAACCCACCCCACCAAAACAACAAAAAACAACAAAAAAAAAAAAACTAAAAACAAAAAAAAAACACAAAAACAAAAACATCAAAAAAAAAACAACAAAAACAAAAAAAACAAAAACAACAAACAAACAAAACATCAAAAAAACAAAAAAAAACAAAACCAAAAACAAAACATCCAAAAAACAACAAAAACCAAACAAAAAACAAACCCCCCCAAAACAACAAAAAACCAAAATCTACAAAAAAAAACAACCTCAAACAACAAACACAACAAAACAACAAAACAACAAAACAACAAAAACATCAAAAACAACAAACATCAAAAACAACAAAACAACAAAAAACAACAAAACAACAAAACAACAAAAACAACAAAACACAAAAAACATCAAAAACAACAAAAACAACAAAACAACAAACAATAAAACAACAACAACAAAACAACCAAAACAACTAAAACATCAAAAACATCAAAAACAACAAACATCAAAAACAACAAAAACAACAAAACAACAAAAACATCAAAAACAACAAAAACATCAAAAACAACAAACAACAAAACAACAAAACAACAAAAACAACAAAAACATCAAAAACAACAAAAACAACAAAAAATCAAAAACAACAAAACAACAAACATCAAACATACAACCGCAAGCAGCATCGAGCGGCCCTCCCACACTGTTCACAAGTATATCCACGAGGGATGGGCATGATTAGTCGATTAATCGATAATTGATCATTAAGAATTTCATCGATTACGTTCATTTTAATCGAAAACCAAAGCAGGTCCTGTGTGTATCGTGACCAAACAGGTGTGTACATGTGCTCTGCATCAGAAGGAGCGAGACACAAACAGTGGGTCAGTCTGAACGAACCGAAGCACAATGGGATTTAACCAGATTTGTAGAAAAATTCCACACTTTCCGTTGCGTTGGGACAAGTTGTGATCCATGTGCACAGTGTAAAAAGCAGCAATTGTTTCTGTGTCCAGTGGGAAAAAGTTTTTCCAGGTGAGAGTCGCTCAATGTGGATGACGAGGCCCCGCCCCCCTCCCCCGACGCGTCCTGGTTTGACAAAACAAAATCTGGTCACACTGACCTGTATTCACCTGAGTCATGTCTTTTAATCCAACACAAGTTGAACACATCAGCCCCCACAGAGCTGGAGTTTTATCTTCACTTAGTTTATGTAAATTAGTGATGTGGTTTTAAGTTTTGTTTCTGTGAGATTTGAACAAAACTGAATAAACACATTATAATGTCAAACAGCTGATGTGGACTAGAGTCGTTATGTTTATAGTCGTAAAGTTGAAATTATTTATGCAGTATGCAGATAAATAATATGATGATCATTTTATATAAAACGTTAATGATTAATCGATAATCGATCGTTAATTCTTCCGACGATCGATTAAGAACATTTCATCAAATGCCCGTCACTAATCTCCACATCTCCCTCAGTCTGTTCACTTTTGGAGCTTGAAGCAGGATTAGGGGGTTTGTGAGGCAGCTTCACTGTGGTGCACTTAAAATCTTTATTTATTTATTTATTTTGGTCACAGGTTTATTCTGACATGAATTCACAGTAGGGACGGACTAAACCAGGACTAAACCAGGACTAAAACAGGACTAAACCAGGACTAAACCAGGACTTAACCAGACTGAAACAGGACTAAACAGACTAAAAACTACATAAACCAGACTAAACACCAGACTGAAACAGAACTAAACCAACAAGACTGAAACAGGACTGAAACAGGACTAAACCAGGACTAAACAAGAGCTAAACCTGGACAAAACTTGGACTAAAACAAGACTGAAACAGGATTAAGTCAGAACTAAACCAGGACAAGATTAGTTCAAAACCAGAACCAGAACCTGTACTGAAACCAAACGCTTAAACCAACACAAACCTAAAACTAAACCAGGACTAAACCAGGACTTGGACTTTGGTAGATTTGTGGAAGAAAAATGAACTGAAAAAGTCTGAAAAACAGGGTAACTCTGATTTAACGGACCTTAAACGAAGAACCTCGTTAAGACAAACACTATGGAGCTGGACTTTCTTCTGTTGGGGTAAAACCGGTTGGTATCGGGTCGTGAGTTTGGACCTGGTGAGGTTCCGTGTGACAGACCTGGGTAGAGAACGCGGCTGATCATCCCGGGGAAAACCATCAGGAACATGGGCAGAACTTTGAGGTACCCACAGAGAATACAGCCGCCTTTAACGTCTGTGAGACTCCGAGCGGCGAGACACCTCTGAACGATGACCTGCATCCACACACACACACACACACGAGAGAACTGAGCAAGTCTGAGTCCTGGTCTAGTCCTGGTTTAGTCCTGGTTTAGTCCTGGTTTTAGTCCTGTTTCAGTCCTGGTTTAGTCCTGAGTCCTGGTTTAGTCCGTGGTCAGTCCTGGTTAGTCCTGGTCTAGTCCTGGTTTAGTCCTGGTTTAGTCCGGTAGTCCTGGTTCAGTTCCTGGTTAGTCCTGGTTTTAGTCAGTGGTTTAGTCCTCCTGGTTCAGTCCTGGTTTAGTCCTGGTTTAGTCCTGGTTCAGTCCTGGTTTAGTCCTGGTTCAGTCCTGGTTTAGTCCTGGTTTAGTCCTGGTTTAGTCCTGGTTTAGTCCTGTTTTAGTCCTGGTTTAGTCCTGGTTCAGTCCGGTTCCCTGGTTTAGTCCTGGTTTAGTCCTGGTTCAGTCCTGGTTTAGTCCTGGTTAGTCCTGGTTTAGTCCTGGTTTAGTCCTGGTTCAGTCCTGGTTTAGTCCTGGTTTAGTCCTGGTTTTAGTCCTGGTTTAGTCCTGGTTTAGTCCTGGTTTTAGTCCTGGTTTAGGGTTTAGTCCTGGTTTAGTCCAGTTCCAGTTTGTTTTTAGTCCTGGTTTAGTCCTGGTTCAGTCCTGGTTTAGTCCTGGTTTAGTCCTGGTTTAGTCCTGGTTCAGTCCTGGTTAGTCCTGGTTTAGTCCTGGTTTAGTCCTGTTTAGTCCTGTTTAGTCCTGGTTAGTCCTGGTTTAGTCCTGGTTTAGTCCTGGTTAGTCCTGTTTAGTCCTGGTTTAGTCCTTGGTTAGTCCTGGTTTAGTCCTCGTTTAGTCCTGGTTTAGTCCCTGGTTTAGTCCTGGTTTAGTCCTGGTTTTAGTCCTGGTTCCTGGTTTAGTCCTGGTTTAGTTCCTGGTTTAGTCCTGGTTTAGTCCTGGTTCAGTCCTGGTTCAGTCCTGGTTTTAGTCCTGGTTTCTTAGTTCCTGGTTTAGTCCTGGTTTAGTCCTGGTTTAGTCCTGGTTCCTCCTTTAGTCCAGTCCTGGTTTGTTTAGTCCAGGTTTAGTCCTGGTTCCAGGTTTAGTCCTGGTTTTAGTCCTGGTTTAGTCCTGGTTTCCAGTCCTGGTTTAGTCCTGGTTTAGTCCTGTTTAGTCCTGGTTCAGTCCTGGTTTAGTTCCTGGTTGTCTGGTCTGCGTTTAGTCCTGGTTTAGTCCTGGTTTAGTCCTGGTTCAGTCCTGGTTTAGTCCTGGTTCCCTGGTTTAGTCCTGGTTTAGTCCTGGTTTAGTCCTTAAGTCCTGGTTTAGTCCTGGTTCAGTCCTGGTTCAGTCCTGGTTCAGTCCTGGTTTCAGTCCTGGTTTAGTCCTGGTTTAGTCCTGGTTTAGTCCTGGTTTACTCCTGGTTCAGTTCCTGGTTTAGTCCTGGTTTAGTCCTGGTTCAGTCCTGGTTTAGTCCTGGTTTAGTCCTGGTTCAGTCCTGGTTTTGGTTTTCCTGGTTTAAGTCCTGGTTTAGTCCTGGTTTAGTTTGGTTCCTGGTTTCCAGGTTCTGTTCAGTCCTGTTTAGTCTGGTTAGTCCTGTTTAGTCCTGGTTAGTCCTGGTTCAGTCCTGGTTCAGTTCAGTCTGGTTTAGTCCTGGTTCAGTTCCTGGTCAGTCCTGGGTTCATTCCCTGGTTCAGTCCTGGTTCAGTCCTGGTTCAGTCCTGGTTTAGGGTTCAGTCCTGGTTTAGTCCTGGTCAGTCCTGGTTCCTGTTCCTGGTTAGTCTTGGTCCTGGTTTAGTCCTGGTTCGTTCTGGTTAGTCCTGGTTTAGTCAGTTCCTGGTTCAGGGTTCAGTCCTGGTTTAGTCCTGGTTCAGTCCTGGTTTAGTCGGTTTAGTCCTTGTTCAGTCCTGGTTAGTTCTGGTTTAGTCCTGGTTTTCAGTCCTGGTTTTTCAGTCCTGGGCGGTGGTTCAGTCCTGGTTTAGTCCTGGTTTAGTCCTGTTTAGTCCTGGTTCTGTTTACCTGGTCCGTACACCAGTACCAGCCTCCCACGATGGCGATCCCAAACAGGACCCCGGGCCAGGGCAGGTCTCCGGTGGAGGCGTCGCGCAGGAGGCTGAAGGCGTCGGGGCGAGGAGTGTAACACCAGGGGGCGATGTGGTACCGCGCCGGGTCCAGAGACGAGCGGTTCACGGGCACAGACACAGGATACTTCTGCAGGAGCGAAGTGTACCCGCCCACCTCCGAGAACGCTGACACAACACACAACCACACAGTAAATGTACAGACATAAACTCCTGGTTCCATCGGCGAGACTCGGCTCCACTGACTCTGGCCCCAGTTCACTTCCTATAGAAAAAGGAGGCCCCGTCTCTCTGGACCCGCAGCTGTCAGGCTCCTCATTTTGGTCTTAAATGTTCGCCGTGACTCGCTCTGCATGATCTGGGTTTGTTTATTTCACAATTTTGTCCATAAATGAAGATCTGAACATTAATATCAGAACCTTAAACTTTCCCTGATAAACCCGCGGTGTGGGCAGAAAGGGGCATCACCAGTGTTACCAGTTTGTATATCTGAGTAAAAACAGTGTAACTGTTTACATTACTATTGTAACAACTGAAAATTTGGTAATGACGCATAAGTTCCTTTTTCAATTCGGTGCAACTTTACTTTTCTATGTATGTGGGCCGGTCCCCGTCCTGGTGGTGTGAACAGTTTGGTCGCACTCAGGACAGTCTGCCCCGGTCGACAGGGGGCCCCATCCGGGGGCAGAGCGGGCACAGTGGGCACAGTGGGCACAGTGGGCACAGTGGGCATTGATCCCTCAGTCCTGGGAAGCGGTGAGGTCCGGGCAGGAGGAGCTGTAAAGCAGCCAGAGCCATTTTCACCTCGAGCCTTTCCTAACCCACCCAGAGCCCGTCCCAGCGTGGGGGAAGCGGGGGTCAACGACAGCCCAGGAGACGTCCCTCGAGACGGATCCTCCCGCATGGAGCAGTCGCCCCTCGCCCCTCGCCCGCCGAGGTGAATCCTCCAGACAAACTGCACACACCTGTTTACTTCTGGTTTCACGTCCTCTTGAACTCTCTTCAGTTCTTTTCAACTTTCCCTCACGGTTCTTGTCGACTGTCGGTCTCGTACTGTGTTTAGTATCTGATGGAGTTTACCACCAAAAAGTAACGAGGAACGTAAAAAGTGACTTTCCATAAAGGGTAACTAAGTAAAGTAACGGATTACTTTTTAAAGAAGTATTGAGTAACGAGCAAACACGACTTTTTTAAAGTAACTTCCCCAACACTGGGCGTCACCTTCAACAGCCTCGCTCCTGATTGGCTCTTTCGTTGCTATGACACCAGCATTCAGAATTGGAAATATGGAACTCAGCTTCAAATACACTCTCTTTAGCCTCGATGAGCTTCATTTGACTGGACCCAAACATTCGAGAGTCACGTGATTCTCATTCTGCTTTCTGATTGGAGAATCATCTTGAACCAAAACACTAAACTATAACAGAAATAAATGGAATCATGTTCCAGTGTTTTTGTAATTAAGACTAGATCAGCGTTCCAGTTGTTCTCTGTATGAGCGCGTTTATCTCAGGTTGTGTTTGTGAAATTTTAAATAAAAATTCATTTTAAGTTTTCAGGTACAAGTAAAGTCCAAACTTGTAGACAGAGAGAGACCTGCACGTCTAACGAAAATTGTGCAAAAGAAGAAAGATCCGCACTGCAGTTTTCTGAAGCTGCCAGATTTTGATTTCAGTGACACCACAATGTGACGTTTCAGCTCTTCTTCAGACAGGTTCACAGTTTGTCTTGTGGGAGCTTCAAAGAGCTGCAGTGTGTCACTGTTAATATCTGTGTTTGTGTTTACATGAAAACAGATGAAACTTATGCAGAAAGTGTCTTGCCCCAGGACACAACAACAACAACAACCTGCAGGTGAGATGTGAGTGTCAGCAGTTTCAGTCAGGAGGTGTTCAAACTTTCCTCTTCGTCAGCAGATTAATAATTAAAAACACACTGACTGAATGATGTTTTTTAGACACACACATACACACACATACACACACATACACACACACATACACACACACACACACACACACACACACACACACACACACATACACACACACACACACACATACACACACACACACACACACACACTACACAACACACACACACACACACACACACACACACACACACACACACACACACACACACACACACACACACACACACACACACATACACACACACACACACACACACACCACACACACACACACACACACACACACACACACACACACACACACACACACACACATACACACACACACACATACACACACACACACACACACACACACACACACACACACACACACACACACACACACACACACACACACACACACACACACACACACACACACATACACACACACACACACACACACACACACACACACACACACATACACACACACACACACACACACACCACACACACACATACACACACACACACACACACACACACACACACACACACACACACACACACACACACACACACACACACCACACACACACATACACACACATACACACACACACACACACACATACACACACACACACACACACACACACACACACACACACACACACACACACACACACACACACACACATACACACACACACACACACACACACACACACACACATACACACACATACACACACACACACACACACACACACACACACACACACACAGACACACACACACAGTATATATGATAAATATGTGTGTGTTTTCTGTATAAATGTGTAAAGTCCTCACAGTATCCGGTGAGGACACAGGCTCCAGCGATGATCACAAACGTCTGCACTGTGTCTGTGTACATGAGAGCTGCCAGTCCTCCTGAAACACCACCACGACACCACGGAGGGACCAAATACAAAAGGACAAGGACAATTCAGGGATCTGTACTTTACTTCACTTAACTTCACTTACTTTACTTAACTTGATTAACTTAATTAACTTATCATACTTAACTTACTGTACTTTACTATACTTATTTTACTTACTTTATTTAATTTAACTTACTTGATTTACTTGACTTATTTTACTTAACTTAATTTACTTAACTTGTCTAACTTAGGCAAGGCAAGTTTATTTGTATAGCACAATTTGGACGCAAAGTAATTCAGAGTGTTTAACTAAACTTAATTAACTTATTTTGCTTTACTTTACTTAACTTAACGTTCTTGTTGTAGTAGTAGTAGCTATAGTAGTAGTAGTAATAGAAATAGTAGTAGTAGTAGTAGTAAAAGTAGTAGTAGCTGTAGTACTAGTAGTAGTAGTAGTAGCTGTAGTAGTAGTAGTAGTAGTAGTAGTAGTAGTAGTAGTAGTAGTAGTAGCTGTAGTAGTAGTAGTAGTAGTAGTAGTAGTAGTAGTAGTAGTAGTAGTAGCTGTAGTAGTAGTAGTTGTAGTAGTAGTAGTAGTGGTAGTTAACCAACTACCCTGGTCTCTGTTCTGGACCGGTTCTGGACCTGGTCTGGACCTGGTCTGGACCTGGTCTGGACCTGGTTCTGGACCTGGTCTGGACCTGGTTCTGGCTGGTACCTGTGACCGTGTAGAGCGCGGTGACGAGGAGCAGAGCGATCACAGAGATGTAGATGTTCCAGCCCAGAGCCTGCTGAATGAAGACAGCCCCGGAGAACATGTCCACCTTAAAAAGAGACAATACATGTCCACCTTAAAACAGACACAAAACACGTCCACCTTAAAAAGAGACACAAAACATCCACCTTAAAAGACACAAACATGTCACCTTAAAAGAGACACAAAACATGTCCACCTTAAAAAAGACACAAAACATGTCCACCTTAAAAGAGACACAAACATGTCCACCTTAAAAAGAGACAATACATGTCCACCTTAAAAAGAGACAATACATGTCCACCTTATAACAGACACAAAACACGTCCACCTTAAAAAGAGACACAAAACATGTCCACCTTAAAAGAGACACAAAACATGTCCACCTTAAAAAGAGACAATAACATGTCCACCTTAAAAAAGAGACAATACATGTCCACCTTAAAAGAGACACAAAACATGTCCACCTTAAAAAGAGACACAAAACATGTCCACCTTAAAAAGAGACAAAACATGTCCACCTTAAAAAGAGACAATACAAAACATGTCCACCTTAAAAAGAGACAAAACATGTCCACCTTAAAAAGAGACAAAACATGTCCACCTTAAAACAGACACAAAACATGTCCACCTTAAAACAAAAACATGTCCACCTTAAAACAGACACAAAACATGTCCACCTTCAAAAAGAGACAAAAACATGTCCACCTTAAAAAGAGACAATACATGTCCACCTTAAAAACAGACACAAAACATGTCCACCTTAAAACAGACACAAAACATGTCCACCTTAAAAAGAGACACAAAACATGTCCACCTTAAAAAGAGACAAAACATGTCCACCTTAAAACAGACACAAAACATGTCCACCTTAAAACAAAAACATGTCCACCTTAAAAAGAGACACAAACATGTCCACCTAAAAAGAGACAAAACATGTCCACCTTAAAAAGAGACAATACATGTCCACCTTAAAAAGAGACAATACATGTCCACCTTAAAAAGAGACACAAAACATGTCCACCTTAAAAGAGACACAAAACATGTCCACCTTAAAAGAGACACAAAACATGTCCACCTTAAAAAGAGACACAAAACATGTCCACCTTAAAAAGAGACAATACATGTCCACCTTAAAAAGAGACAATACATGTCCACCTTAAAACAGACAAAAACATGTCCACTTTAAAACAAACAAACCATTACATGTCCACCTTAAAAAACAGTCACCTTACAAAAACATGTCCACCTTAAAACAGACACAAACAACATGTCCACCTTAAAAAGACAAAAAAAAACATGTCCACCTTAAAAAGAGACAATACATGTCCACTTTAAAAAAGAGACACAAAACATGTCCACCTTAAAAAGAGACAAAACATGTCCACCTTAAAACAGACACAAACATGTCCACCTTAAAACAAAAACATGTCCACCTTAAAACAAAAAACATGTCCACCTTAAAACAGACACAAAACATGTCCACCTTCAAAAAAGAGACAAAAAAACGTCCACCTTAAAAAGAGACAATACATGTCCACCTTAAAAACAGACACAAAAACATGTCCACCTTAAAAAGAACACAAAACACGTCCACCTTTAAAAAGAGACAAAAACATGTCCACCTTAAAAAGAGACAAAAACATGTCCACCTTAAAACAGAGACACAAAACATGTCCACCTTAAAACAAAAACATGTCCACCTTAAAAAAGAGACAAAACATGTCCACCTTAAAAAGAGACAAAACATGTCCACCTTAAAAAGAGACAATAACATGTCCACCTTAAAAGAGACAAAACATGTCCACCTTAAAAAGACACACACAAAAACATGTCCACCTTAAAAGAGACACAAAACATGTCCACCTTAAAAAGAGACAATACATGTCCACCTTAAAAACAGAGACAAAACATGTCCACCTTAAAAAAGAGACAATACATGTCCACTTTAAAACAGACAGGAACCATGTCCACCTTAAAACAAAAAACATGTCCACCTTAAAACAGACACAAAACATGTCCACCTTAAAAGAGACACAAACATGTCCACCTTAAAAAAGACACAAAACATGTCCACCTTAAAAAGAGACACAAAACATGTCCACCTTAAAAAGAGACACAAAACATGTCCACCTTAAAACAGACACATCATGGAACTTTCTGGGCAAAGTTCTGTTTGTGTTTCCATGGAGACGCACCGAGATCTTGGTGAAGATGTAGAGGAACAGGGAGATGATGGACAAATACAAACTGATCCTGGAACCTCCAAACCTCCTCTTCAGATACTCAGGCATCGTGATCACCTGCACAGACAGGTGAAGACAGGTGAGGACAGGTGAGGACAGGTGAGGACAGGTGAAGACAGGTGAGGACAGGTGAAGACAGGTGAAGACAGGTGAAGACAGGTGAGGACAGGTGAGGACAGGTGAAGACAGGTGAGACAGGTGAGACAGGTGAAGACAGGTGAAGACAGGTGAAGACAGGTGAAGACAGGTGAGGACAGGTGAAGACAGGTGAGGACAGGTGAAGACAGGTGAGGACAGGTGAGGACAGGTGAGGACAGGTGAAGACAGGTGAAGACAGGACAGGTGAAGACAGGTGAGGACAGGTGAAGACAGGTGAAGAGGTGACAGGTGAGGACAGGTGAGGACAGGTGAGGACAGGTGAAGGACAGGTGAGGAACAGGTGAGGACAGGTGAGGACAGGTGAGGACAGGTGAAGACAGGTGAAGACAGGTGAAGACAGGTGAGGACAGGTGAAGACAGGTGAAGACAGGTGAGGACAGGTGAGGACAGGTGAAGACAGGTGAGGACAGGTGAGGACAGGTGAAGACAGGTGAAGACAGGTGAGACAGGTGAAGACAGGTGAGACAGGTGAAGACAGGTGAGGACAGGTGAAGACAGGTGAGGACAGGTGAAGACAGGTGAAGACAGGTGAGGACAGGTGAAGACAGGTGAGGACAGGTGAGGACAGGTGAGGACAGGTGAAGACAGGTGAAGACAGGTGAGGACAGGTGAAGACAGGTGAAGACAGGTGAGGACAGGTGAAGACAGGTGAAGACATCGTGATCACCTGCACAGGTAAAAGAAAACTCAGTCCAAGTCAAGTCCAAGTCGTCTGATTTGAGCTTCAAGTCATTTCAAGTCTTTAAACCAAATCACCAAATGTCGCTGAGATTTTTACAATTTCTTAGAATTTTAAACTAAATTATACTTTTAAAAAAATGTATATATGAATATTTATAGAGTATGTAAGAGTTTTTTTTCCTTTTTAAATGTCACGACAAGAAAGAATTCAGATTTAAAAGTGCTTCTCAAGTCTCGATTCAAGTCCCAAGTCTCAGTCCATTTTATCAAGTCAAGTCCTAAAAATAGTGACTCAAATCTGACTTAAGTTCAAGATGAAATGTCGGTTTCTGGCCTCTGATTTTATAAACTAAATTTCCCCCAAAAAGTGTGACTTTTTTTTTTTTCTTCATTACACTTTTTTTTTTTTTTTTTTTTTTTTGCTGGTGCAACTTTAGAATCTGTGCAGCTCCAGGACGATTGTGAACAAAAATACTGCAAACGTTCTCAAACTGAAAACTGAGATCTGTAGATTTATAAAGTTTATTACTCACCCCTGCAGTGAGGTAGACCGGAACAAAGACCCAACCCAGGAGCAGGACGATGAACAGAGCCTGGAGGAGAAAGAGCAGACGTGAGGAGGACCAGAAGAACAAGAGAACCAGAGAAGAACCAGAGAAGAACCAGAGAAGAACCAGAGAAGAACCAGAGAAGAACCAGAGAAGAACCAGAGAAGAACCAGAGAAGAACCAGAGAAGAACCAGAGAAGAACCAGAGAAGAACCAGAGAAGAACCAGAGAAGAACCAGAGAAGAACCAGAGAAGAACCAGAGAAGAACCAGAGAAGAACCAGAGAAGAACCAGAGAAGAACCAGAGAAGAACCAGAGAAGAACCAGAGAAGAACCAGAGAAGAACCAGAGAAGAACCAGAAGAAGAACCAGAGAAGAACCAGAGAAGAACCAGAGAAGAACCAGAGAAGAACCAGAGAAGAACCAGAGAAGAACAGAAGAACCACAGAAGAACCAGAGAAGAAACAGAGAACCAGAAGAACCAGAGACCAGAGAACCAGAGAACCAGAGAAGAACCAGAGAAGAACCACAGAAGAACCAGAGAAGAACCAGAGAAGAACCAGAGAAGAACCAGAGAAGAACCAGAGAAGAACCACAGAAGAACCAGAGAAGAACCAGAGAAGAACCAGAGAAGAACCAGGATGTTGGTCTAAATGTAGTAGAAGATCTGCAGCTCCAGGCGTGTGAGGAGTGAACAGAGAACGAAGGAAGCAGTTTTGAGATTTTAAATCCATTTGTTCATTTATTTTTCATAATAAAACCAAAAATAAGAAAATAAATTTGTCTCCAAAACCAAAATGAAAAAACAGATAATGATTTGTTTTTTCAGTTTTCAATTTTGTGTTTAAATGAAAAATGGAAAAAACAGAAAACGAACTGAACCAGAACTGAACCATTTTCAGTCCCGGTCTGTTCCCAGTCTCAGTCTCAGTCTCAGTCCTGGTCTCAGTTCCGGTCTGGTTCTGGTCTGGTCCCAGACCTGTTTTTAGTTCTGGTTCAGTCCTGGTTCAGTCCTGGTTTAGTCCTGGTTCAGTCCTGGTTCAGTTCAGTCCTGGTTTAGTCCTGGTTTAGTCCTGGTTTCAGTCCTGGTTCAGTCCTGGTTCAGTCCTGTTCAGTCCCTGGTTTAGTCCTGGTTTAGTCCTGGTTCAGTCCTGGTTCAGTCCTAGTTGGTTCAGTCCTGGTTTAGTCCTGGTTTAGTCCTGGTTTAGTCCTGGTTCAGTCCTGTTTCAGTCCTGGTTTCAGTTCTGGTATGGTCCTCTTCTCAGTCCCAGTCTCAGTCCTGATCCTGGTCCTGGTCTCAGTCCTGGTCAAATTCCCAGTCTCAGTCCTGGTCTCAGTTCTGGTCTGGTCCCAGACCTGTTTTAGTCCTGGTTTAGTCCTGGTTCAGTCCTGGTTTAGTCCTGGTTTAGTCCTGGTTTAGTCTTGGTTTAGTCCTGGTTCAGTCCTGGTTTAGTCCTGTTTTAGTCCTGGTTTAGTCCTGTTTTAGTCCTGGTTCAGTCCTGGTTTAGTCCTGTTTAGTCCTGGTTTAGTCCTGGTTCAGTCCTGGTTTAGTCCTGGTTTAGTCCTGGTTCAGTCCTGGTTCAGTCCTGGTTCAGTCCTGGTTTAGTCCTGTTTTAGTCCTGGTTTAGTCCTGGTTTAGTCCATTTTCAGTTTTTTCATTTTGGTTTTGGAGATAAAGTTTCTCACGTTCCACTCGAAGCCGCCGACCGCGATGCCACTGGCCGCTCCGGTGCCCGCCAAACCCACGAAGTGCCCGCTGCCGATGTTACTGGCGAAGAGCGACGCCCCCACCTGGAACAGAGCGGTATTACACTCAGGTCACACTACAGCGACGCCCCCACCTGGAACAGAGCGGTATTACACTCAGGTCACACTACAGCGACGCCCCCACCTGGAACAGAGCGGTATTACACTCAGGTCACACTACAGCGACGCCCCCCCCCTGGAACAGAGCGGTATTACACTCAGGTCACACTACAGCGACGCCCCCACCTGGAACAGAGCGGTATTACACTCAGGTCACACTACAGCGACGCCCCCACCTGGAACAGAGCGGTATTACACTCAGGTCACACTACAGCGACGCCCCCCCTGGAACAGAGCGGTATTACACTCAGGTCACACTACAGCGACGCCCCCACCTGGAACAGAGCGGTATTACACTCAGGTCACACTACAGCGACGCCCCCACCTGGAACAGAGCGGTATTACACTCAGGTCACACTACAGCGACGCCCCCACCTGGAACAGAGCGGTATTACACTCAGGTCACACTACAGCGACGCCCCCACCTGGAACAGAGCGGTATTACACTCAGGTCACACTACAGCGACGCCCCCACCTGGAACAGAGCGGTATTACACTCAGGTCACACTACAGCGACGCCCCCACCTGGAACAGAGCGGTATTACACTCAGGTCACACTACAGCGATAAACAAATGTATTTTATGCTCTTCTGGTTTAGACCTGGTTTAGTTCTGTTTTAGACCTGGTTTAGACCTGATTTAGTCCTGGTTTAGATCTGGTTTAGACCTGGTTTAGACCTGGTTTAGTTCTGTTTTAGACCTGGTTTAGACCTGAAATAGTCCTGGTTTATATCTGGTTTAGTCCTGATTTAGTCTTGGTTTAGACCTGGTTTAGACCTGGTTTAGTCCTGGTTTAGTTCTAGTTTAGTCCTGGTTTAGTCCTGGTTTAGTCTTGGTTTAGACCTGATTTAGTCCTGGTTTAGTCCTGGTTTAGACCTGGTTTAGTCCTGGTTTAGACCTGATTTAGTCCTGGTTTAGTCCTGGTTTAGACCTGATTTAGTCCTGGTTTAGTCCTGGGTTAGACCTGATTTAGTCCTGGTTTAGTCCTGGTTTAGACCTGGTTTAGTCCTGGTTTAGACCTGGTTTAGTCCTGGTTTAGACCTGATTTAGTCCTGGTTTAGTCCTTGGTTTAGTCCTGGTTTAGACCTGGTTTAGTCCTGGTTTAGTCCTGGTTTAGTCCTGGTTTAGACCTGGTTTAGACCTGGTTTAGTCCTGGTTTAGACCTGGTTTAGTCCTGGTTTAGTCCTGGTTTAGACCTGGTTTAGAGACACTTGGGACATTTCTTGTATAAATTGGGACAAATCCGTGTTTTCTTTGTATAAATCTTTTAGTTTGTGTTTAAATCTGTGGGGCAGGAGACACAGACTCAACACTGGGACTGGTCCTGTGTGTCTCCCCGACACCGCGGCGCCCCCACCTGGACCGACGGACACCGCGGCGCCCCCACCCGGACCGACGGACACCGCGGCGCCCCCACCCGGACCGGCGGACACCGCGGCGCCCCCACCCGGACCGACGGACACCGCGGCGCCCCACCCGGACCGACGGACACCGCGGCGCCCCCACCCGGACCGACGGACACCGCGGCGCCCCCACCCGGACCGACGGACACCGCGGGCGCCCCACCCGGACCGACGGACACCGCGGGGCCCCACCCGGACCGACGGACACCGCGGGGCCCCCACCCCGGACCGACGGACACCGCGGCGCCCCCACCGGACCGACAGACACCGCGGCGCCCCCACCTGGACCGACAGACACCGCGGCGCCCCCACCTGGACCGACAGACACCGCGGCGCCCCCACCTGGACCGACAGAGCATTACTTTTCATTCAGTTCAAAGTGTTGACAGTGAACGGGACGCAGCAGCTCACACGTCACAACTAAATAACAAAGAGAAAAAATATCAACGTAATAATCACTTCTAAATCAAGGTGCAATACGTAAGTTGCTGGTTTCTATGGATACGTCATCACTCTGCCTGGAATGTTCCACAGTGTGACATTAAACAGCTGGACTTTACGTTTATTCAGTTACAGGTGGATTTAAAGACTCAAAAACGCCTCGAAAGCGACAACATCTCCACGGAGAAAATCACTTGACGGACGCTCCCGCCGGAAAAGTTCCACAGCGCGGCTTTAAATACTCACGGGCCACCAGGTCATGGAGCGCCCGGCCAGGAAGTACCCGCCCACTGTGCCCCGATTGGTCCGAAACATCGACTGGAAACAGAAAAAAGAGAAAAAAAGTGTGATTTACTTCAGAGTGACATTGAACGAGGAGCAGAGTGTTCCACAATCCCCCCGGTTTTGTCTCTTGCTTGTCGCCATGGAGACAGACCTCACTGTGGAACATTCCAGGCATAAACAAATATTTAAATAAATAAATAAATAAATGAATAAATTTCCCTTAGAGATAAAGTGTGGAGCTCAGTCACACGTGAGGACGTCCCAACACTCAGTCCTGGTTTTAGTCCTGGTTTAGTCCTGGTTTAGACCTGGTTTAGTCCTGGTTCAGTTCTGGTTCAGTCCTGGTTTAGTCCTGGTTTAGTCCTGGTTTAGTCCTGGTTCAGTTCTGGTTTAGTCCTGGTTCAGTTCTGGTTCAGTCCTGGTTCAGTCCTGGTTTAGTCCTGGTTCAGTCCTGGTTTAGTCCTGGTTTAGTCCTGGTTTTAGTCTTGTTTACTCCTGGTTTAGACCTGGTTCAGTCCTGGTTCAGTTCTGGTTCAGTCCTGGTTTAGTTCTGGTTTAGTCCTGGTTCGGTCCTGGATTAGTCCTGGTTTAGTTCTGGTTTAGTCCTCGTTTAATCCTGGATTGGTCCTGGTTTAGACCTGATTTAGTCCTGGTCCAGTCCTGGTTTAGTCCTGGTTCAGTTCTGGTTTAGTCCTGGTTTAGTCCTCGTTTAATCCTGGATTGGTCCTGGTTTAGACCTGATTTAGTTCCTGGTTCCAGTCCTGGTTTAGACCTGGTTTTAGTCCTGGTTCAGTCCTGGTTTAGACCTGGTTCGGTCCTGGTTCGGTCCTGGTTTAGTCCTGGTTCACTCCTGGTTTAGACCTGGTTCGGTCCTGGTTCGGTCCTGGTTCAGTCCTGGTTTAGACCTGGTTCGGTCCTGGTTCGGTCCTGGTTCAGTCCTGGTTTAGACCTGGTTCGGTCCTGGTTTAGTCCTGGTTCAGTCCTGGTTTAGACCTGGTTCGGTCCTGGTTCGGTCCTGGTTCAGTCCTGGTTTAGACCTGGTTCGGTCCTGGTTTAGTCCTGGTTCAGTCCTGGTTTAGACCTGGTTCAGTTCTGGTTCAGTCCTGATTTAGTCCTGGTTCAGTCCTGATTTAGTCCTGGTCCAGTCCTGGTTTAGTCCTGGTTCAGTTCTGGATTTTTTATTTTTTATTTTTCATTTTGGTTTTGGACACAAATAATGAAGAAAATAGTTTTTGTTTTGTTTTTTTTTAACCTGGACTAAACCGTTTTGTGTCATATTCAACTTTTAATACGAAATGACTTTAAATATAAAAAAAATAAAAAAAACCTTGAAAATGAAAGAGCCTCACCCAAACGCCGACGCCGACGACGCACAGGAAGTACCCGGCGATCACACTGATGTCGGCCGCGTTGTTTATGGCCACAGACTTCATCTTACTGCTGCGGCGATGGAAGAACTTTTACCCAGTACTACTACTTCATCAGGTACTCGGGATGAAGTACTGACCGCGGGACTTTGACCACCTCAATAATCATTAACACGTCTCATTATTAACAGGTTTAAATAATGAACTGAAAACACGACGTCAGCAGGAACGAAAATGAAAAAACAACGATTCATCTTCATTATTTGTCTCCAAAACCAAAATGAAAAAACAGATAATGATTCGTTTTTTCAGTTTTCAGTTTTGTGTTTAAATGAAAAATGGAAAAAAAAAAAAAAACGGAAAACGGCCGTTACTTGTTTACGTGACTTCAGTGATGTCGGACTGAAACCAGGACTGATCCAGGTCCGGGACCAGACCGAGACCAGACCAGGACCAGACCGAGACCAGACCAAGTCCGGAACCAGACCGAGACTGAGATCAGAACTGAGACCAGACCGGAACCGAGACCGAGACTAGAGACCAGGACCGAGACCAGACCGGAACCGAGACTGAGGGTGTTTTCACACCGACAGTATTTGGTGCGCACCAAACGGTCCATTCGAACCAAAAGTGGTTAGTTCGGTTCGTTTGCGTTGGTGTGAAAGCGTCAATCGGACTCGGACCCGAACCAAATCAAGCGGACCGAGACCGCAAAAAAGAGGTGGTCTCGGTTCGCTTGAATCCGCACCAAATGACCAACTTTGGTGCGGTTCCTCTGGTGTGAACGCGAACCCGGGTCCAAACCATAGACAGTATGGACAAACGGACTATTCGAAATGCATCATGGGAGGGACACGCGTCTCCTCTGCCTGAAATGACGCGCTGTACGACTCCAGCGCAGTAACAGATTGTTGTCAAGATGCAGCCGCGATTCATTTTCGAATTATTTTACCAACAATGGCCAATACAGAGAATGTAACACACGAAGATCAGAGCAAGTATCAGTGTGCGAACGTGTGGCTCCAGAGTGAGTCAAAATTGGGGGTGCGTACCCCTGTTCGGGACCTACACGCACAGAGACGACCCGGTGTTCCCCGTGATCACACAGCAACCCAACACATTTTTTATTTTAGGCTTTAATTAACCAAATAATTTCATGGCAATAGGCAATAGCCTATTCAACTGATACAACTTAAAAAAGTCCCTGTTTTTAGCCTAGTGTGAGAAATACAGTCGGACTAGATCCAAACCAGAGTCCTGAACCAGCGGGGGCAGCTCCAGTTCAGGCCGGGCTCAGAGGAGCTGGAGCGGGGAGCCTCGACCTGAGGAAGCGCTTTCCCCGGGACGAACCAAATGCGCGGAGGACGGACGCTCAGAACAACATATAACAAACCAAACTGGACTCACGCTTCTGTCCGGATGCTGCACCACCTCGGAACCAGCCGCGGTTCTTGAGCGCGGAGGACCGGAGCAGCGCCCGGACCTGTAGTCCACAGCGCATTCTTGCTTCTCCCGCACGGAAACAGCGCGCAGACGACGGAACGTACCCGCTCAGACTCAGTCCATCAAGCACTGGTCTTGCTCGCCACCGTTTGGAACCAGCACATGGAGGACAGAGCCTCCGGACCATCTGACCAACGCGCTTGTAACAGAAGACCAAGGACCAGACCCCAGCCCCGTCCTGAGGAGCTGTTGGCTGCTGCTGTTACCCGAACTCTGGGCTGATGCGGTGAGTTTGTATAAAGTTCTACATGTTGCTGTTTTATGAGTTCATGGTGATAATTTGAGATGAGGACGGCCCGTGGTATTAACAGGAACATCGGTGTTGATAACTGGAGGTATCGCTGTTTTACCGGGGAAACAGAGACACGTGAATCGAACCAGTTTTGGTTCGTTTGTCGGTGTGAACGCGGACACACTGGAGTGGATTTGCTACATAATAAACATTTTATTGCCTGGTGCGGACCAAATAATCGAACTAGCGGTGTGAAAACGACCTGAGACTACACCAAGACCAGACCGAGACCAGGCCAGGACTGAGACTGAGACTAGACCAGGACCGAGACTGAGACCAGCCCGAGACCGAGACTAGACCAGGACCAGACCGGGATCGAGACCGAGACCAGACCGGGACCGAGACTAGACCGGGACCAAACCGAGACTAGACCAGGCCAAGACTGAGACCGAGACTAGACCAGGACCGAGACTGAGACCAGACCGGGACCGAGACCAGGTCCAGGACCGAGACAGAGACCAGACCGAGACCAGATCGTGACCGAGGCCAGGACCGAGACCGAGACCAGGCCGGAACTGAGACTGAGACCAGATCGGGACCAGACCGGGATCAAGACCGAGACCAGACCGGGACCAGACCAGAGGCTCAGAGCCCACGGCAGGGCCAGAGCTTGAAGCTGAGGCTCGGACCCTGCGGAGGCTCAGGATCAAAGCTCGGAGTCCAGCTCTGGTCTCGCTCTGGTCTCGCTCTGGTCTCGGTCTGGTCCAGCTCTGGTCTCACTCTGGTCTCGGTCTGGTCTCTCTGGTCCTCTGGTCTGGTCTCGGTCTGGTCCTGGTCTGGTCTCGGTCTCGGTCTCTCTGGTCTCTCTGGTCTCGGTCTGGTCCAGCTCTGGTCTCGGTCTCGCTCTGGTCCTCTGGTCTAGGTCTCGGTCTCTGGTCTCGGTCTCTGGTCTCGGTCTCTCAGCTCTGGTCTCACTCTGGTCTCACTCTGGTCCAGCTCTGGTCTCACTCTGGTCTCACTCTGCTCTGGTCTCGCTCTGGTCTCACTCTGGTCTCGGGTCTCTCTGGTCTCGGTCTGGTCTCTCTGGTCTCTCTGGTCTCTCGGTCTCTCTGGTCTCGGTCTCTCTGGTCCAGCTCTGGTCCAGCTCTGGTCTCGGTCTGGTCTCTGGTCTCGCTCTGGTCTCGCTCTGGTCTCTCTGCTCTGGTCTCGTCTCTCTGGTCTCTGGTCTCTCTGGTCTCTCTGGTCTCACTCTGGTCTCGGTCTGGTCTCGGTCTCGGTCTCGGTCTGGTCTCAGGTCTGGTCTGGTCTCGGTCTCGGTCTGGTCTCGGTCTCGGTCTCTGGTCTGGTCTCGGTCTGGTCTCGGTCCTCTGGTCTGGTCTCGTCTGGTCTGGTCTCTCTGGTCTCGGGTCTGGTCTCGGTCTCGGTCTGGGTCTCGCTCTGGTCTCGGTCTCGGTCTCGGTCTCGCTCTGGTCTCTGGTCTCGCTCTGTCTCGGTCTGGTCTCTCTCTCAGGTCTCGCTCTGGTCTCGCTCTGGTCTGGTCTCGGTCTGGTCTCTCTGGTCTCGGTCTCGGTCTCTGGTCTCGGTCTCTCTGGTCTCTCTGGTCTCGGTCTGGTCTCTCTGGTCTCTGGTCTCTCTGGTCTCTCTGGTCTGGTCTGGTCTGGTCAGTCTGGTCTCCGGTCTGGTCTGGTCACCTGGATCAGTCCTGGTTCAGTTGGTCGGTCACATCACTGAAGTCACGTAAACGGGAAACAGTCGTTATCCGTTTTTTCCATTTTTCATTTAAACACAAAATCGAAAACTGAAAAAACAAATCATTGTCTGTTTTTTTTCATTTTGGGTTTGGAGACAAATAATGAAGAAAATCGTTGTTTTTTCATTTTCTTATTTTTGGTTTTATATTGAAAAACAAACAGATTAATCTGACTCACACG